AGAAGATTCTGTTTTCTGGCTTCCTTCTGAAGTTGTGGTAGTGGTTCACCCTCTGTGAAGATGCTCAGTTTGTGGTTTATGTTGGTTTGCTGGGTATCAACTTAAATGATGCTGAGGAACTGGGTGCCTAACGTGCTTAGGTTCTTTGAGTGGAAAGAAGAAATAGGAGAAAAGATAAAAGCCTGGCACTACTGCCTTTCCCTGTTGGTGCTATCAACTAGAAAGCCTGTCTGTCTTACTGATCTGCGAGTCTTTGTTTATTTCTATTTAGATCTGTGAGTCTTGTTTCCTACATTTTGGTCAGTTATAATATAGTCTCCCTTCAAAAAGAGAATGAAAGAAAGTAATTCCTTTTAGAAAGATTAGAAAGTGACAGTATGTATTCTTCTTTTTCCTATTCTTCCTGACTTAAGAATTATGAGACTGTATTGAATGTTCATTTGCATAAACATAATGTTTTAAAACATGGGGTTATTGAGAGCTGTCAGTAGTATGTATAACAGACAAGTGACACATTCATTGCATGGGCAGCAGTTTGACTTTCCAGTATGTAGGTTCTACTTTCTTCACACTGCCCTGTGAGTTTGACCCTCTTGAAACACAACTTGCACCCCACTGTTTCCTTTGTTGTGGTAAATGTAACTTTATTTTTAATAAAGTTGCTGTTTAAGTCCTTTTTCAAAATGTAAAAGAAAACATAGAATGTGTGAGAGTCCAGTAATAAGATTAGAAGGAAGCAAGAGTTATGCTGTTTAATTGACATGAAATGAAAAGACAAAACAAGCTGATGACTGCCTCCATAGATTATTACTTAGAAACATCACCATTGAAGAAATCCCCATGACCTTTCACATGCTTAGAGGATCATTTATTTATGAATTTTCTAAGATTATTTTTTAACGAAGAGCCCATAAAATGTAATTAATATGTACATCACAGAGAGCTTCAGGAATTAAGAGCAGATAATTTAATGTGTATTGAACAAATTGAAGTTTGTTCAGTTCATGTCCTTTAGTCAGCTTTTGAAACAGAGAATAAAGACTTGGCTGATGGAGAAAGAATAGAGGAAGGAATTGAGGGGAGGGAAGGAAGTAAAGGCGTAATTAGTAATGGAGAGTATAAGACAGAAAGTGGAGAAGAGAGAATACATAGTCTAAGAAAGAGAGACTTAGCAGACTTGAAAATGATTTTTAAAAAATGTATAGTTGATGCAGATTTTCAGCCATCTAGTGCTCTCTAAGCGTCGATTACATCAATCATTGTTTACAGCTTCTATTTTTTTTGTAGTCCCTATTTTTAGATTGTGATCACTATGGAATAATTGAAACAAATTATGATGGAAATTTACCCCAATGATAAGGCTTGAGCTACTGGAGAAATATCACTTCTCTGACCAGATGAAATCATTTTTCACCCCTATTTTAATTTATTACAATGGAACTCATACACAGGAAAAGTAATAATGAGTCACTGTCTTTTAAAACTGAATTTTGGCAAAGTTTGATTTTTCAGAAAGGATTTTCTTTGTTGTGAGACATTTTATTGAGGATATTATTTATTTTATTATTAACCTTTTATGTCTTCTACTTTTCCATCGTTTGTAGTTTCAAATTACTGTGTAGCAGAGATCAGAATCCAGCTGTTGAGGGAAAGATAGCTATTTGCTTCAACTATATGCTGATGTATAATTACTTGGGTAAAATAATGAATTCTATTAACATTTTTTTTACCGATTTTCCCTTGTAAGATACATTTCATTTATTGCTAGCACTTTTTAAAACCTAAATGAACATAGCAAAATTATGATCTTTGCTCTGATGACTCTAATGTTCATTTAAAAGGTCAGATTGAACAATTTTAGGAAAATGCACAAAAGTCAGAATAACAACTGGGAAAAAACAAGATTTCCCTTTGGGTGCTTAAAATACAGCTAATTTCTGTCTCTCACTTTTCTACCCACCACTTTCTTTTTTTGTGTGTATATTTATTTTTACAGGGATAGGGAATTTTCTGGACATTTATTTCTCTTATCTCAGTTCTTCCTGCTTATTCCTTCTTTTTCATTTTCATATGTGCATTTTCTGGACATTTATTAATCAAAGTCCATGTTACATGTAGGCTGGACCTATCTCCTTAAGGCTGACATCTATCTTCCTGTGCAGCCCAGTTTCTCTCTCATTTTGGCTTCCAAGGCTGTGTTCTTACAGAACCCCTCCCCCCTTCACTACCACCACTGATAAGGGTGTACGTGACATTCCCAGGATGTCCGTCATTGTCCCTATACCAGCTCCTGGGTAATAGTCAATCTCAGACCACAGAAAGTTTAATGATGAATCCATATCTGTCATGAGCTAGAGGAGCTACAGGGCACATGGTAGGTAAGGGCCCAATAAATGTTTGATGGGCGAATAAAGCAGTGACTGTGCAAAGAAATATAGCTCATAACTGAAATCCTTAAGGAATGAAGCTGTTTAGGCAAGCACTTCTGCCCATATGGATAGCCAATTAAGTGTGGAGATGGCGCATGCGTGTGTCCCAATGTCCGTCAGTGATTACAGACTGCAGCCTTAAGTTTCCCTGGTGAATTCATATGCAAGCTGACCTGACAACAACTGCTTGCACTGTGAGTAATCACAGGATTTCCCAGAGAAAAGGCTGTCAGGCATGGAGCTCCACATTTAGCTGCATCTTCCGTATAAAATAACTCGCCATAGCTTTACTGTTTGAGGGATCAACGCTCATTAGAATTAATGCTTGAAACATAACCTGATAAAATGTGGACGTTAAGAGCAAACTCATCTTTGACAAATTTTTGGATCAAATTGGCAATGCACAATTCTCCTAAAGTCCAGGGATTGTACAGTTTGTACATGGCCTCTCATCTCATTGGGTTTTAAACCAGGTTGCTATTTTATAAAGCATTTTAAGCAGCCTTGATCGGAGAGACATCAAGACCATTATTCCTGTTGTTGCTGATTTAGTGTTACAGCTGCTTCCTCTTTATGTGATTTAATTTGAAGTCTCAGCCCACCAGGGGGCTATTGGTCCCCACCTCTGCAGCCCTCAGAGCTGGCTGCTGTTTTCTGCATGGATGTTATTTCCATTCCTATTCATAGTGATTTTCCCCCTTCTATATTCATCTAGCAGTAGCAAGGCACTGTTCCAGGAACTCGCTCTCTCTACATAAGGCGTAACATGGAACCATTTGGATGGAAAAATTATAAATTAAAATTATTCTGTTCATTTTAAAATATTCATATTGTGTTGCTCAAATGCCAGTAACTGGAAAATCATGGATAATGTCCTGTTTTTATAACCTCTTTCAGAGTGTTTTAAAATCCGTTTATGTTGTTACTTAGCCATCTTTTTTTCCTGGAGTGGATTTTTGTGATAAGACTTATAAAAAAATGGCTGGCAAGTCCAGTGTCTGATGGCACATGAAACATTAGAATAAAGATACCAACTGAAACCCATTTTTTAAATAGAAAATTTCTCCATGCGCAGAAAACATTTATAAAATTATAAGACTACAAAGTGAGTCTGTGGACATGCCAGACTTCCTTTTCAGGGTAAAATCTTTATTAAGTGGTTAAAACTAACCAAAGTTTTATTAATATCTGGAACTACATGTTAATTTTTAGTTCAAAAACCCATCTAGTTATAACACTGTTTGCAAGTACTAAAGACATGTCCAACTTTTAAAGTGGAGGTGTGTTTTGGCTCCTCTTTGCTCTCTATAGTAGTGACTGATTTTTTTAACTTGGGAAAACTAAATTGTATTTTCATATTTTCCATGTTATATGGATGAGGATATGTATCTCTCCGATAGACAGGTGGGGAAAAATGAAAAAAAAAAAAGTATATGGGTTGGTTAGTATTTAACAAAGTAAATATGTCTCTAATAAAGGAAAGTGTTGTTATTTTTCCATTACTACGGTGGAGCATATTAAGGGGGGTGAAGATCTTTACTTTTTGCTACTTTATTGTGTAAGCTTGAAGTTCAGATTCTTATAGGAATTTTTTTGTTGTCTCTTAGGAATATTTAAATATAATTGTGAAATTCTTCAGCTCTGTCTGCTAAAGACAATTTAAAATTATAATGTTAAGACTTTCTAGAAACGTACTTTTGGTTCAGGCTGTAGTCTTTGCTGGTGTGTTTTGTGTGTGTTTTGAGATTCTTCAGCAGCAACACATTACGTTAGCATGAACAGAGTCACAGGCCCATTTTATTGTTTGCTTTAGCCTTGTGAATCATTTGGCTTTATAAATAGGCTGATCCTTTAATTGAAAGATTCTGTGTGCCATGAAAACCTGGGAGGTGCTTAGTAGCTCTGTTTTACTAACTTTAAATAATATGAGGACTTCATTGCTGGCTATAATATTTGACTTGTATACATTTTCCTGAAGTGTTTTTGTCAGTAAACAGTGGTTGCTGTTTACATAGCAACCGCCTTTTTTAAATGTAACGACATGGTGTACTCTTTCTAATTGAATAAAGAAGATGGTGGTTACTAGAAGAACCGATGCCTCATGATTAGTACTTTGTGAATTAAATCTTAACTATGTTTTGATATTTTTCCTCGGTTGATGGCTTTCTAATCACTGAGTTAGCTGCTGGTAGTACCTATTCTGTAGAGTTAACGTTTCAGTTCTGGGGCTTATGGTGTTCAATAAAGTTAAGTATTCTCTGTGATGGAACTAAAGCTTTAGTCTTGATCAAAGTGCTGTGAGGAAACACGGTTAAACTGATTGGCTGTGAATGTTAATCACTTCATAGGACACACTGATAATTTACAGCATTGTTGTAACTCTCTGGTGTTCATAAAATGAACTTAATAACCCACTGCCGCCATGGGATAAGCTGCTTTTTCTCTGCAATTGAATACCCAGACTGCCTGCATAATGGTGTTGAGAAATTCTGCATTAAACAGAGTGAGCAGCTGTATGATGAAGGAAACAGCTCTGCAACAGATTTGTTAATTATCTCCTTTGCTTCACAGAGGGTGTTTGTGAGATATGGTTGACCAGTGAAGACACAGGGGCTTATGGCAGAGATATTGGCACCAGTCTCCCTGCACTGTTGTGGAAACTGGTCGAAGTGATCCCCGAGGGAGCAATGCTGAGGCTTGGCATGACAAACCCCCCCTATATTTTAGAGCATCTGGAGGTAAGGAAAAGTAACCCATTTCATGCTGACACATACACAAGCCAGTCCAGACAACATGGCAGCTTCTGCATCATCACCTGAGATTCATTTCAAACCATTTTCAGCTTTTTGTAAGTGTGGTTCCATGCTTCCAAGAAAGAATTGAGATGGTCACATCCTCTTCTTTTCCATCTGCACATCTTTTTTCTTGCTTCCTCACTCTTAGCTAATTCTGCTTATATTTTACAGTACTGGCCATCTTATCACAGTTCTCTGTTTCTGCTTTGTCACCCTGCAGTTTTCCTTTAATAAATGTGCCCCAGTTCCTCCATTTTGAACCCCTGTTTGGTTCTACTTTGCTAACACATTGCATTAATTTGGCAGCCATTTTATTATTTGTAACCAATGGTGAGCTTTGCGTTTTTTGAACTACTTTTAGCTCTGTCAGTAAGGATACCGTGGCCTAAGATTGAAGGTGCCTTTTAAATGTCATCGTTTTCCTTAGAGGGAAGTAGAGGTGAGGTAGAACCAAAGAGACACAGTTGTTTTTCTTCCATATGAGTTTCTGTGAACACCGAACACAGAAGGTGTGGTAATGTGAGACCTTTGGTTCCATTTTTATAACTTTCATAGATCAGGATGCTTCCCCTCAGGTAGCTTGTTAAACTAGAATAATGGATGTGTGTGCAAGTAACTGTGGTACCAATGACAAATACCCCAGTCTGAGAAAAGAATGTGGATGAGGGAGCAAGCGTTTATGTGAAAAAGTACCTATTGGGAACGGCTGTTATCTGTAAAGTAGGATAATTGTGTGAGGTCCATTGTTGTGGACAGTAAATCTACTAAGTGCTATTGGAAAGTCAGGTGTAATGTACACAGTAAGTCAATCATATTTTTAGTCAGTGTGTTCTTCACATTAATTTGCTTAGGAAAAAAATATCTAAAAATCATGAATAGGTGCTGAAATGTAGTGCATAAATGCAATTTAATATTTTAAAGATTGTTTATGTTGATTTTATTTCGGGCCTATACATGTTGAGGTGGTTGTTGAAAAGTTTCCCTAATATCAACAACATATTTTAGGATTTCTGAAAGCAGTTGATGGAAATCTGATCATTATTTATTTACAAATGTGTAAGGAAGAGAATCCACAATTTCAATTTTGTCATTTATAATTTCCTAGTCAGATTTTTTTTTTTTGTAAATGTATGTAGTTTATATGCTGACTTTAGTTCTTTGGGCAGTTTGTGACAACTTTGATTTGCTGTTTTCAGTTTCAGTTTCTTTGAATATTTGAAAAGGTAAGTATGTGATTTCCTATTAAGAATAATTTTTACCTGAGAACTGGTGTGGTTTTACTATAAAGACAGCAGATACAGTAGATGTGTGTGGAAAGAGCAGCACACAGTGTATAATGGAAAGCACACCAATTTCTCTGATTTGATTGAACAATTTTATTCCAGATCAAGGGAGCCTTGGTAGCTGGAGTCAAAGATTTTCAGGTGCAATGTCAAAGTGTGTGTACTAGTGGGCTGGTAATATGGTATTGATTCTGAAATAGCTACCTAACACCTGGAGAACTAAATCTACGTTTTACTTAATTGTAGAATTGCAGAAACTTTCACTGCATTTATAGCAAATTTCCATGCTATAAATTTCCTAAGGTAGTACCAGTTGGTGGCCTCTGACCAGAGCTTCCAGAAGAGATCCTGAAAGTCAACCGAAGATACTGAATGTAACCTTACGCTTTACCTGGGAAATGCCAGATGTTTAGTTTGTAGATTATTAATAGAGTAATAGCTAGTTATGATTATCATAACATTCATTGCCTCTTAAAATTCTTGTTGTAATTATCTGTAGTGTTGACCTTTCTCTTACTTAGTTATCTTCCCAAGACAAGACCTTGTCATTTCTACCCATCCCAGTCATGACTCAATGAATGAGTAAATGAGTGAATTAAAGAAGTCCCTTCTTCATAATATACATGGAGCCCACACTTTAGTCTTGAACTTTCGAGTTCAAAATTCCAGCCAGAAGATGCAATGAAGATGATAAAGTAAATGAGCTTCAAGGGCAAGAATTTGTCCCATAGAAAGCCACCCTTTCCTATGTACTTGAAAGTCAGGGCGGAATCCAGTCCTTTTATACTACATGCAAGGGGAAAGCAAACAAAGGAAACAGGGTGACATGCAAACCAGCAAAACTACATAGATATGAAAGTCCTGCACTGTAGACAAGTGAGAGCTCTCTAGCTTTTCCTTTCTCACTTTGACAGCGCCATTCTCCTTGGGTAGGTGGAGCCCAGAGTGTGCGTCCTTCTACATACATCCATGTAACAGGACCAGAGCCCAAGTTGGGTGAGCCTCAGCCCCTGTCACCAGTATATTCATTTTCCTTGCTGACTTAGCCCTTTCTGTAGAAATTGCTTGACCTACCTTAAGAATACTGAGGGTGTCTCTAGTAAGGAAAAAAAGAAGCATTAGGGAAGAGGAAAACAAGAAAAAAATGAACTAGTGTAATATAGACGATGGTTTTTTGGGAAAGAAACAGTCCTGTAGAGATAGAAGGAACCCTCTCTTGAGAGAACTACTCTGATGCTTTCATACCGACAGCATCGGTAGGACTCAGCCTCCTTGTGTTTTGTGTGATGCTTCATGCTGGAGACTTTAATTACAGAGTGTTTACTTCACTGGCTGTTTTCCTTCCTCTTCACTTCACATTCACCAGGCTCTTGAGAAGTTTTTTTTGAAACTCTTACAAGCTTATCTTTTTGATTGAACAATTTAAATGGAAAGTCACTTAAAGGAATACACATGAGCTTCTGTCATTTTAAAGTCTAGTGTGGAAAAACCTGTGAAGAATGCATCTTATTAAGTCTCCGTAGGAGTAGAGATGCATGTTACACTTAACCATAGGTTGCACTATGGAGTTTTTATCAAGAGTCTAGCATTATGTGTGGCTTCTTATGTACCAGGAATGATTAATGTGTAATAAACAGAAGAGTGGGAAAATTTTAATCTCTAATAAACAAATAGTTGTATCCAGAACATCTACAGATCTATTTTTGACTAATTCCTTATAAAAACCGTATGAGACTCAGTTTAAATGATGATCTTTAGATGACAAAGATATTTCAAAACACACACACAATGAAAAAATACCCTGGAATTGAAGAGATAGAATTATGAACTTAGGCAACACTTAACAAAATTCGCATATGACATACAAACAACATAAAATAAAATAGTATATTAGAAGATATTTTACCTCATCTTAATTTCTACAGTGCCTCTCGTACCATAAGCCAAAATACAGCTCTTTAGCATGCTATCCAGGCTCTTCCATTCTTCCATTAATCTCTGTTCTTCTGTCCCTTCAGGGCCTTATGATGCCCGCTGGTAAAGCCTGTGTACTCCATTTACATTTCACTCCTGAGATTTTTACTTGTTCTTTTCCCCATGCCATGCTTACAGGTGACATGTGGTAATCCAGTCCGCGCTACTCAGATACACTAATATGCGCTGCTACTTGCACTGACTAATACATTGTGCTGATAGTGGCAAATAAGAAATTTTTTTTTTCCTGTGCGTTTGCTTTCCTATCAATATTTCTAACTCCGGCATATTTTCTCTTTAATGAACTCTGACCTTCCAGAAAGTGGAGTAGCTTGTGAATTTGATTGCATTTGCAACAACATAGCTTACTTTTGGCCTGTTATTCACTCAGACAGAACATAGTACAGGTAAACACGTGAAAGTGTGATGAGGGGCGCAATCCTGCTGCCAGCCAAGCACCAGAAATCACTATAATTATCAAATACCTGTTATTTTCCAGAAGTTTTGCGGATTGCTTTGCAAATGCTATTTTCCTTCTTACATCTAGTTAGGTATATGGATTGTTATTGGCTATGTATCTGTCATCTATACCTTGTATTGATGCGTAGCTAAGATATAGAAAGAAAATGTGTGGATATGACAGTGAGAAAGCTTTAGCCTGTAAGAGTTGTGTTCTGGTTGCATAGTTGGTTAGCAGTTGAGCTACTTTGTCATCTTGTCTGATTCTAAAATGTTTTCCACTCTACCATGTCTTACAGAAAGTCATTCCAGATGCTTCCCAGATTCCTTCCATGCTTTGTCAGATTCTGTCCGACAAGTCTGTTGGGACTATCATGGGGCAAAATGATTATTTATTTAAAAGTAGATTCAACGCAACTGTTACATTTTTAGGGGGAGGCTGTCTCGTTCATCTTTGCACTTCAGGTTCTGTGGCAATGTGCACTTAATAAATGTGTGTTGGATAATGTGATAGCTCTCATGCTGTTTGTTAACTGCATGTCTTATGTACTGAAGTCTCTTCATGTCTGTGCTGAGCATCTAGTTTTGGAAGAGATCGTGGATGGGTGTCATGTGTTTCTCACTTCTGAGTCACACTTCTGTGAATATATACTTGATGGTGGAGAAAATCTATCTAAGGCATGTGTTTTGATTATTTGCCCTGCTAAAATATAGTGATATATGGTATATTTAGGGCTACCATGTGCAAATGAGCTCATTATGTGATTATTGGATCTGTCGACTATCTAGACTCTTAGCTTCTTTCTTCTCTTCCATACATCTTAGTTTTCACTGCTTTTTATAGTCTCCATCAGAGAAGACAGCAATGGATGGTCAAGGAGGAGAAAGTAAAAATCAGGCAATGTGTCTTCCTTTTAAGTTTTCTTAGCTAGTAGGGAAATGATAATGGTAAGTGATATGCAAAGTATCTGTGGATTTTATGTATCTGTGCTATCTTGGTTCTCCCTATGTTATGAATAATTTACGGTAACTGTTACCTCCTTTCAAAATTTCTGTGTCTTAAAATTGTTTCAGAATTTCAATGCATCACTTACAGCCTAGTCCAGAGAGGGCCAGTTGACTAATATGGAGTACAAATGCCTATCATTAAGGACTTTTCTTATATTCTTATTGTGAATAAAGCAAATTACTTGGCTTTAATAAATATTAATCTTTAAAATATTGTTG